CCCTCGAGAGCCCAAGGAGCCGTTCCGCCCGCCCCCCATCACGCCCCACGAGTACATGCTCTCGCTGTACAGGACGCTGTCCGATGCTGACAGAAAAGGGAGCAACAGCAGCGTGAAGTTGGAGGCTGGCCTGGCCAACACCATCACCAGCTTTATTGACAAAGGGCAAGGTGAGGGGGCGGGGTGGCAGGGGCACGGCTCAGAGGGAGGGCACCTGCATGCATGGAGGGGCCTTTCAGAGCCCTGGCACTGCACTGGTGGGAGACCGAGTGTGCACCTGGCCTGGTCTGGTATCTGGGACTCTCTCACACAGGTTCCGGGTTGCTGGCAGGTCAGAGTTGGAGGCACCTGGGGAATCACCAAGCCCAGTTCCTGCAAGGTGCAGAGGGGATGACTAAAGGCCAGAGAGGAGACAAGACCTGCCAGCTGGTGGCAGAGTTGGGGACCAGACTCTAAGACTCTTGATCACCAGGCCATGCTCTGTTCCTATGTGGATTGGCCAAACTTTGTAGGCTCCAGGGGTTTGTAAGTTTTCTCAGAAGGCAGAGAAATTAATCTCTAGCTACCATGGCTCTGCCACTTTGCCCTCAGATTAGGGGGCAGAGGAGGTGGGAGAGGTGAAGACAGTAACCGAGGCATCTTAGAGTCTTGGAATGACACTCAGATATATGGGGTTTGGGAGTGGACAAGAGACCTAGGGTTTAACAGTGTGACCTTGGGAAAGCTCCTTCTCCCTTCCGGGTCAGTTTGCCCGTCTGTATAACAATATGAAGGTTGGACTGGGTAATTTCTGGGAGCCCTTCAATATGAGACTTCATGTCCTGTCCTAAACAGATACTTTTTATCATTAACCCAGGAGAATAACTGCTCTCCTCATTTCTCCCTCTGCCCATCCGGCATTACTGCCTTGGCTTTTCCTCTCAACTTGCTGTGTGATCTCAGCAAGTCTCTTCCCCTTTCAGGGCCTCAGTTTCTCCCTAAGTGTGATGGAAGCTCATACGCTCTGGTTCTGAGTCTTAGGACTTTGGCTGGCAGAGTGGGGGAGGGGTCAGCGAGTGGGAGAGGCTCCTCATTAGAGCTGGCCTGTGGGGGAATGACAGAGGGCGGGGGAGCTACAGAGGCAGCAGGTCTGGCTGAGGTGGGGGAGGTGACCTGGCTGCCTGCCCAGTCAGGGAAAGCTGTGACCCCTTGGGGGCTCATAAAATAAGTCATTGTGCCCCCCAGCACTAAGGGAGCTCAGAGAGGGGGAGATGGGGAGTTTAAAGGCCTAATTAGTCACCTTCTAGAGCAATATATGAATGCTTTCCAATGGCAAATTTGTATTTAGGAAAGAGGGCATGCTGATTCAGACATACTACTGAGTTTCTTATACATACACACAGCCTTATGTTTGTACATACATGCTGAATCTCTCTCTCTCTCTCTCTCTCTCTCACACACACACACACACACACACACATATAGGTGCACTCACACCTTCTTACACATATACATTCATGGAATCTTCTTACACACACACACACATTCCCTTTAAATTTTGACACAAGCCCAATCATACATACACCTGACATGTCACTTATATATGCCACTTTTTTTACTCACATATAAACCCAGTCATACACACAAACTTCCACACACACACACACACACACACACTCATTCATCCAACAGGGTGAGACACATGCACAACAAAATATTAGACTGGGAAGCAGGGAAATTGGATTGCAGAACCCTTTTGTTATTAACTCACTGTGTGACTATAGTCAAGTCACTCCCCCTCTCTGTGCCACATCTGTAAAAAGAGATCACTAAGATCCTCTTTAAGGGGCAGTGGAAGCAGCTTCAGATTGAACATAAAAAGTTCTAGGCTAGTGTTTCAACTATGCTTTTTCCTAGCTGGTGACTCTGAGCAAGTCACCTAACTTCTCTGAGCCTCAGGTTCGCCCTCTGGGAAAACAAGAGTGATCACAATGCCCACCAAACCTATTTCACCAGCGAGATAGCATATTAGGTAACATAGGAGAGAGGTAGGCAGAAGGCAATCCTGAAGCTGGTAGGTTTCTGATATGAACAGTGACTGACACAAATACCCAGAACCACTGACATCACCCCAGCCACATCTACAGATAAACAGCCCTTGGTAGGCTGTGTAGGACGCTGCTTATTCTGAAAAAGGCTCTCGGTGGTTGGGTCTTGGCCTCTCTCAGAGTGGGGAAGAGGTTAAAGAGAGCTCTCTAGAGGGGAGAGGGCCGTGGCCCTCCCCTGAGGCAGAGGTGACTGGCTTTCTTGATGAGGTTGCAGGGAATGACTTCTGGGTGTTCTCTCTAGATGACCGAGGTCCTGTGGTCAGGAAGCAGAGGTACGTGTTTGACATTAGTGCCCTGGAGAAGGATGGACTGCTAGGGGCCGAGCTGCGGATCTTGCGGAAGAAGCCCTCAGACACAGCCAAGCCAGTGGCCCCCAGTAGCGGGCGGGCTGCCCAGCTGAAGCTGTCCAGCTGCCCCAGCGGCCGGCAGCCGGCAGCCTTGCTGGATGTGCGCTCAGTGCCAGGCCTGGACGGATCTGGCTGGGAGGTGTTCGACATCTGGAAG